CGCGCAGTCCTTGGGATACGGCGAGCGGACCGTGCGACGTTGGATCATGGAGCAGGATAAACTGCGCAACTTTAGTGGCTCCAAAGCGCGCAAGCGAAACTCAGGCAACTGTGGAGCAATGCCCATCATACCAGACGCCCACGACCTTGTTATCCACATGAAAGATCTCCGTCGTCAAGAGCTTGTTGTGACGTCGTCACACATGCTTCAGTTCCTCCGCGCTGACCATATCGACTGGATTGAGAACTACATGTCGACACGCAAGACTGGGTACAAGTCGTTGCTACGGCTCCTCCAGCACTTCGCTGACCGCCATGGCTTTTCCAAGCAGCGAATCTGCAGGCAGAAGAAGACACAGGAAGACCTTGAAGCAACACGCCTCGAATTCGGACGATACTTCCACGACAAGTATCCTGGGGTAGCAATGGACACTGTTTACAACGCTGACGAAACGGGAATGTACTACGACATGTGTCCAAGTACGATTTGGGCTGTTCGTGGTGGTGGTAGTTATGTAGCCAACTCTGAAAGCCACTCCTACCGTATGACCGCGCTGCTCACGATTCGTGGAGATGGTGCCAAGCTGCCGATTCTTTTTGTCATCCGTGGCAAGGCTGGTAGCGGTATTGAGACCAACGAATTCGACGACTATCCCCCGGGCCACTTCTACGCCATGCAAAAGAAGGCGTGGATGAATGGATCGGTATGGAAATACTATCTTCGTGAGGTGCTCCAATCAAGCATTGAAGACCCATCAATTCTCCTGGTGGATAACTTCGATAGCCATGTCAGCGAAGAAAGCGAGTGTATTGTCCGCGACGAGCTTGGAAGTGAACTGTGTCCACTTCCACCAAACAGCACTTCTCATTGTCAGCCGTTGGACGTTTCTATTATGGGACCGTTCAAACAGCATCTGCGTGATTTGTGGGTTGTCACTCAGAACACTGCAACAACTGCAAAAGCAAAGCGCATTGCCATGATTGAACGTGCAATTAAGGCGTGGGACATGATTTCTGAAGACGAATCTTCGTTAAGGCCTTGCCGAAGTCTATGTAGATTTTAGAATTAATGTTGAATACTCCAAATGATTGTTTTTATTTTTTGTTTTGTACTTGAAATTTGTATACATTTTTTTAACCTCGGCGAGGATCGAACTCGAGACGAATTGCAATGACTGGTACCCTTAATTTGCTGTACAGACACACACCGGAATCTTGCAGTGAGCATTGCGCGGCTGCCTGCCGTCTGTTCTAAAGGGTGAAATTGGGGGGGTATTAGAGACCCTATGGCTTGAGACCATTGACCCAATCCGTATATTTTTTTATTTGTCTTGAATTCACTATGAATTATAATAAATTTATGGGTCGTGTCACGTTTTTAGTGATTGGGTTCCTTCAGCACCTCGAAGTGTGTAACCTTCTCGTGATAATATGAATGCTCATCATTGTATTCCTGTATCATTCAGTGTCCTGTGGAAATAGTTATGTTCATCAGCGTTTTCTGCTTCAGCATAACCATATACATTGATAACCTGTAGAAAACTATAGCGTAATTCAATTTTATCATCTTAAAATAAACTGATGATGGGTGAGGTGTAACGCAATTGGTCAATACAAACGGACTCTCTATCCAATGACAGCGCTCAAATCCGGCCTTATTCAACGTTTCCGACCACCACAATACACTGTACAATAACGTTAGGTGTAACGTGACGAATCTGTGATTTACCGAAAGATCGGTGATTTCCTGAGCCTTTCACGCTAAAGCATCTCGTAAAGAGCAGACTACCCCTGGCAGAACTACTACACTGGCAACGTTACTGCAGGTGTACTCTGCTCTTAGCTATGGATAGGGTACAGTAATGGTCTCTAATGTCAAAATCCCACCCGCAACCGTACTGTTATTGAACACAACCGTGTCTCGTACGGTTGATACTTCACCAATATAACTGTGTAGTTAGTTGTACGTAGTAATGCATGATTCGTTCATAAGAACGTAATCAGAGTAAGCGGTGAAAATCTCAACCTACGAGCCGATACAACGGCGTTTCGGGGTTTCGGGGTTTTGTGCCTACACCGGTATGACTTCGTGTACATTAGTGTGCAAGACCTCTCTAATACTGCATGGCAACCCCTTCTACTTCTTCTTGGCCTTGGCTTTGCGGTCGTCAGATGCCTTGGTGAGTTTGGTGTCGAGGGCCTTCTGCATCGCTTGGCGGGTGGTCGTGTTGGTCGGCGGCTGTTTCTTGGTGGCTTTGGCCCTCTCGAACGTGCGGACGGCCGCTCCACACCCGTGGATCTCGGCCAGTCCATGGGCGTAGCAGAACTTGTACTTGCAGAAGCGGCACATGGATCCGTGGACGTGGGTCTTTTGACCGCACGCGACGAACGCGCACGAGTTGGCCGACGCCACTTGCCGGTCCAGGAAGCCCCACTCGTCCTCGTCTACAAGTACGTGGTCATTGTACCCTTTTACAAGCAACACTTCGGGCTTGGCTTTGTTTTTAGACGTCTTTTTTGGCGGCGGCGGCGGACGGACGGTGCGCGCCAACCGGGCCAAATGGAGCTCCTTCAACGTGGCGTTCATCTCCTTCACTACAGTTTCTTCTTCTTCCGAAGATGCTGAGGAGGATTGGTCCGACTCGGCGGCGTCGGTCAGAGCCGCAAATGCACTCGGAATGGCCACGCTAACCTTCTGCTCATCCACTTCAACCACAGAGTCCTCCTGGTCCTCCTTCAATGGCACTATTTCTGGTGGAATGGGCACTGTCTTGCCTGCTCCTTTCTTTACGGTTTGACCTTGCTTCTTCTATACATTTATATCCCACTAAGATACTATAATAGCTATCATCATGAAGTAAGTACTTGTGGTTTGGGTTGGCTTGAAGTGGCTTTCGCTGGCTTGGTAGTAGCTACCACCGGGGTCTCTACCTCCGCCCAGTCGCCTTCGACTGTGATATCCGCATACTCTTGGGCACTTTGACACTCGCCGTGTAGTTCAAAATGGTCAATCTACGTCGTATGTACATATACGATTGGGAATCCGTTTACATCCACTTTGATTTTCGGTGTACCAGTGTCTTGAGAAACGGGTGGTTGCCCAGCGTATCCGTATCTCCAATCAAAGCCACATGTCGCTTGGCTCTGGTGACGGCCACATTCATGCGGCGGTCGTCGGCCAAGAAACCCACGGCATTTTTACAGTTGGATCGGACCAGACTCATCACCACCGCCTCCTTCTCGCACCCCTGGAACCCGTCCACGGATCGGATCTCGAGCGTCGGGTGCACCGGGTGCAGCAGGCGCCGCAGTACACCCACTTGGCCGTTGTATGGGGTGATCACCGCCACCTCGGATGGCTTTAAGCCAGTCGCGAGCAACGCTGTCACATGCTGCGCCACCACCTGCGCCTCCCCTGGGTTCGACTTGGACGCTCCAAGCAGAGTCTGCACCCCTCCTCCGCCTTCGTCACTAGTACATGCATCCCTAGTATTACTATCTGCCCATATACGTGTACTACTACCTCTCTTCGTCCAGGCCACACCCGGCCGTGTCGATGAGCAACAGTGTCGCATCCAAAGCATCGTTGTCGTGTGGGATGGTCACGTGGGGAAGATGGCTCAGCTTTCTCGAGGCAACGCTGTCGCAGCTGGCCAGTTGGCTCGCGTACATGGCTTTGGACGACCAGTCGGAAATAGCACGGTGCATGCGATACTGTGTCGAGAGCATCCGCACGACGCACTTCGAGTGCTCCATCTGTGTGACACGGTCAAACAGAGTCAGCCCCAGCCCTTGTCTCTTTGCACTTTCGCTCTGGATGGTCGGGGGCAGCTGGTGGTGGTCGCCGGCCAACACGCACCGCCGTGCCCGGAGGAGGGGGATCCAACAACTCGCTTCCAGCGCCTGCGCCGCCTCGTCGATCACGACCACATCAAACACCACGTTTCGCAGCAACTTGGTCGCCGCGCCCGCGTTCGTGGCAAACACCACATCGCTATGTTGGATGATCTACGCATGCCACCGTGTCACACATACAGTCGCCTATAACATGTATATGGTACATCTGCGACGACGTTTTGCTCGCGCTCCCGAATCTCCTTCCGCAGAGCTTTCCGCTCCTGTCGCACATTCTGAAACGTGGCTTTGGTGGCTTTGAGGGTACCCAGTTCCTTTCGGATGTCCGCGATGATCTGCGTGCCCTCCGCCGCCGCGATCTTGGCGTCCAGACAGTATTTGAGCACCGCCGGAAGCAGCCGCGCGGGATGACCCACCCGCGTCATCCGCAGGCCCGCCTTCCGCCTCTTCGCCGATTCCGCGGCTGCCATTTTGGCCAATATGTTGTCCACGGCAACGTTGGATGGCGCACACACCAGCACCTTCATCTTGTACGTGCGCACACATTGCCGGATGAACTCGACCAGCGTCGTCGTCTTCCCCGTGCCTGGAGGACCGTGGATCAGCGCGACGTCCTTGGACGCTAATGCGAACTGAATGGCATCTACTTGGGATGCATTCATGGACGATGGAGGGTTCGTGACGTCGAGAATGGCGGGAAGCGGGTTGGACGTTGGAGCGGCCCCGTGAAAGATGCTACGAGAAAGAAGAGATTCAGTTGAGAAGTGAAGACACTTGTAGCATGTACACGTTGACGATGTGTTGGGCAGGTCCGTCCGAGAACTTGGCGAGCTCGTCCAGCGCGTCGTTGAGTTTTCGATACGTTGCATCGTTCACCAGTCGATCCAAGCTGCATGTATCGTCAGGGGGTCATTGACATCATCATGGAATGATCAAATGTTTACCGAATGGGTTCGTTGTGATAGCCGTCGCTATCCTCGAGGTCTTCAAACGCTACCGAGATACTGTTGTCATCGACCTTGGTCACGATGCCCTTGGGGAACCCGTCTGCATTTGTTGGAGTCAAAGAAGCCGTCGGAATGCACATCGACACCAAGTCCCCGACACTGAAGTGATGCGCGCCGAACTCGCGGCCATGATTGTGCTTGAGCACCAGCACCGTACGGCCAAAGAGACCCGTGGACGCGGACGTCATAAACAAGCGCAGGAGGACGTTCGGGTTGGACGTCGCCGGTAGCGTGTCATTCTCGAGCTTCGCCTGGCTGATCTCCGCCTCTCGCTCCATCTGGAGAAGCTTGCGCGTCTTGTCGAGCCATCGTTCGAGCGGGATCATCATCGTCATGACGACTATGAAGAAAGCACCTGTCAAAATCGATACCAATCCTCTACAACATTATTAATACAGGTACTACTGTGCTTTCGTCGCAATGAACGCATGTTCGCGAGATGTCCTGGGTCACATCATGCATTGCTTATCGCCCATGGACTTGGCATCGTGCTTCATCCTGACCAAGTCAATCCACGCTGCCTGGATCTCCTTTGTGGGACGCATGACGTCGCTGAACATGGCACATCTCCTCGAGAAGCACCAAGACGCGGTGATGACATTGCTACGACACGCGTCACGAGCTCGCAATGTCGTGCTGACAGGGAGCCACAACCTCGTCACAGACAAGTACTTGAAGGCGATAAAAGTCTACTTGGACAAGATGGAGCACCTCACTCATGTATCTCTGTCCTATTGCACCAACTTGACCATCGTGGAGCTGGCGTCGCCCACTCTCGAGTCCGTCGATTTGATCGGATGCGACCACGTCACGACACTGCACCTTCGATGTCCCGAATTATTGTCCCTCGACCTTTCGTGGTGTCGGTTGCTCAACGCTGACACCTTCGTCACTACCAGCCGCGTGCCGCTCCTAACTCGACTCGTCCTCACTGGATGGGAACCGTCGGTGGACGTGGACATAGCTCTTCTTCTTCTCCCCTGTCCCCGCCTGACCTTCCTCGACGTCACCCATGTCGCGCTTTCGAACGCCGGCCTCCATGTCCTCTTTTCCGTCGCAATGTCGTCGCTTCGAACGGTCGTCCTGTCCCAAGCCCAAGCCAACGTGTGGGTCGATGGCACGTGGTCCGTTGCCGAGTTAGAAGCGTGCCGCCGTCGCCGACCAGACATCCAAGTTCTGCTTCGGTGATCCTATATCTACTAACGTCCATATGGTGGACAAACTGAACGGTCGCAAAGCGCAGTTAGTATGTCGATTAACAGTTAAAGGTAGTGCGGATGGTATCGTCGGGTGTGTTTCCAACCAGCAAGAAGACTTCACGGCGAGTCGAATGATCCGCTCGGATCGGGTCCATGTTAGCGCACAGCTCGGCGGCATTTCTCAGAAGGGTGCGTCGGCGTTAAGGGGGTGGTTCTCACATAAGTCTAGCCTAGTTACGTACTTCCTCTGTTCCAGGTTACTGCCGACATTTCAAAATTCGCATGTTCCAAGTTACTGGCGACATTTGCATTTCATTGGCTGTAATTCTTTAATTTCTATCAATATCGAACATTTATGACATTTCATTGGCTTACAATTGCTTTAAGCGCTGATTATAAACCAATCTTTTGCGAATATTCATGCAATTCCCTTTCAAACAAAGTATCATTCGCCCAAATTGAGTGAGGGCTCGATTGTCTATGTAAATGTCGGCAGTAACCTGGAACAGATAGAGGAAGTACATGTTCATGGCCAGCACTCGTTGGACTTCAAAGTATGCTGTGGGCGATATTTATACTTGAACAAAGTATACAGTACCGATGCGTCCTATGTACTGTAGTATGGTGCACTTCATCTAAAAACTTCCAACTGGCCAAATTGAAGAGTGGAGGTTTTATGGAGGGAGTATTTAACGTGCAATTAATGTAGTTAAACCCAAAATCCAGATACGTTAAATACCGATTTCATGCGTTTTATCACTGGAGTGGGAGGTTAAAGGTCCCAACTGCCTCCGGATATTAAATACGGATAAGAGTCATATACAAAAATCAAGATACATTTGAGCGGCTACCCCTAAGGCCAAATATCCAAGCGCCTATGTAAAATACCGCTAGGTTAAATATCTATTTCTGGACCAATTCATCACCAAATTTGAATCTGAGACGTAGAATTTCTTCACCACATTGAGACCTGTCGATTATACGTCTCAATTTGCTGCAATTTTGAGTAATGAATATGAAATAGAAGTCAGAAAATTTTGTGAAAAGTTGGTAGTTTATAGATGACGTGCACCATACTTGAATCCTAAGTTACTGTACTTGCCGTGTTATACCTCGAGGCTTTCAAAATTATTTATGGGGGTTGCATTGAAGATGAAAATGGAGATCAACAGTTCCAAACTGTAACGGTTTACAAATCTCATATTTCACATATTTGGAGTACCGAGCGAAGAAGCCATCCATCCTTCCCATCCATTGCCACACGACGTTCTACGTGCCAATCGATACCCATCGTATGTCTAGCTGTTGTCGTGGCTTCGCGACGCTGCTCCAATGATCGCTCGTTGATCGCCCAACACATTGCCAGTTGAAACCACGTGGATGAATCGAATCTGCCATCATCAGCACCGGTTGCCGCGACATGTCTCCACGTGGCACCGCCATTCACTCATTCTTCGCTTGGTCTAATGTCGTTTCTGAACCGAGCGTCGAATGCCCAAGGCGACAGACAGCCCGTGGTCTGCCCAGCCAGCCAAGCCCGCCCCGCCTTCTTCGAGACCCGTCCATCGAGATGCGACGGTCACGTCCGTTCATGTCTCGTCTATGCTCGTCCACCCAATCAACGCATGCAGTAACGTCGTGTTTACTCCAGCAAGTTACCACTTCGGAAAACACGTTTAAACGAGTTTGACAGGCAAAGCCCAAGATCATGGACACACGTTTTAGTCTTGGAGACGTAAAACGCGTGTTGACATCAATTGACTGGTCACATGCGTGGAAGTTTCAGCGCCTGCGATTGGCGTTCAAGATCTGTTAATGTAGCCAATGTTGGTTAACGTAGGGGGAAAGCCCTAGGTTAACGCATTTCTCAGACTCTCACTCGTTCAGTAGCCGCCCTCGTCACTTTTGCTTTCGCCATGCGCCGCCCGGTCCACGTCCAGGACCAGCTCTACCACGAGGTCCTCAGCGACGACTACTCGGACAACCCGTTTCACTTCAACTTTGACGACGATCACCTCCGCCAACCGATCATTCCGTTATCCAAAGAGGCCAAACTGGCGCGGCGCCGGGCGCAGATCGCCAAGTCCGCGCAGAAGCACCGCCTCCGCATCCGCGAAGAGATTGAGGCGCTGCAAACCCAGCAAGTCCAGCTAGAAGCGGCGCTGGCCAGAGCCACATTGTGGTGGAAGGAGGCGGCGACGAGGGAGCGCGACGCGCGCGCGGCGTCCGAGACCATCAACAAGCACCTGAGGCAAATGCTGCGCCAGACCAAGAGCTGTGCCAAGCACTGGCGCGACTACAAACAAGAGATGCAACAGACTCCTACTATTATTTATCACCCCCCGACTACGAATTCAAACTAGTATTACTACTTAGTATTTAGTACTACTACTTTTTAACTTGCTTCCATCATGGGCTCGGCTTGTTTGGCCCGCCCAGCGTACGGTCCCTCGTCAAAGTACTTGGTCAATTCCTCCACGGCCCGCGCCCCTACAAAGAAATATATATTATTCGAATTATATATATTAACAAAACGTGACCATACCCAGCACATGCTGGAACTTGGACGCCAGGAGCGCGTCGACGATTGCGAACTTCCACTCGCGCGTGGTTTTAGTCGGCTCTGTCTGTCGGTCCACGAGGTACTCGATGAACCCGCCGTACGCGTGCAGCGCCTCCAGTCCCCACGGGTGGCCTTCATATCATAATAATAATTCAATATTAACAAAACGTGACCAACCATCCAGCTCCATTTGGTTATTACCTTGTGCCGCGACCGTCTGCAACAGCGTGTACACTCCGACGCGAATGGGTTCAAAGGGCTGGCGCAGGCACTCCATGAGGTGGTGCATCGTACTGGCTCGTCCGGAAAACACTCCTACATGTCTATTTATCCAATATATATATATATATATATGCCATACCAAGGGCGTGAAAGAGGCGGCTGTGGTACGTCCACAGTGTCGCATTATCGTCTAAATAGACGGCAGTTGGGGTCGTGAGGCGGGTTCCTCTAGCTAAAATGGTCGCGACGGCCATAAACACGGATGATTTCACTTCCAAGAGCGTCGACTTGCCCAGCGCCAGCCACGCCTCGCACAGACTTCGGTGGGCTAGCACCAGTCCCAGTTCTATTCCGATATATCTATCAATATATATATATATATATATATACCAAATTTGGCCTGGGCAGTTTATTGGAAAATCGCAATTTAATACCATCAAATGTATACTACACATACAATGTATATGAAATGTTCGATATATATAAATTTAATACCATCAAATGTATACTATACATACAATGTATATGAAATGTTCGATATATATATTATATATATAGTCCTTGTCGCCCAAATTTGGACTGGGCAGTTTATTGTAAAATCGACTTGAATCTCAATTTAATACCATCAAATGTATACTATACATATATTGCATATGAAATGTTCGACTGGGCCAAATCCTTGGGCAAACATTCCTCAACTACCATTGGTTAGAATTTTGGATTTAATCAATTTCATTGGCTAGTCGATTGTCTGCCTTTTGGCTGTCGCTATTCGATTGGACTACCCACTCCAACTTCGAATACATAATATATATATACATAATATATATATATATTATACCTTTGTCGGAGGCACTGGCAAACGCTGCGACGGCGTCCATGGCGGCGATCTGTTTCTGTGGGTCCCCCCCCTGCAAGGCGGATTCGACGGCCCCCAAAAACGCTTTGGCGAGCGCCGCGTCCTTCCAATTCCAGCTCTGGACGGAATGAGTCGCCGCCAAAGTAGAAAACGATCCAATCAGACGCAGCGCATTGCCGCCCACGAGCGGATGGGCCGCCGTCGCCACGAGATGCGTGAGTAGATCTATGCTCCATATTGTATGCGTTGTGTATAAGACCAGACTTATATAAAGTGTACCGGACTGAAACACGTAAAGCAGGCCAGTGCGGGTGGTGCAGAGGTTGGGGATGATGTCGAGGATGTTGAGCTGGAAGAGCGCGTCTGAGGACTGGATGCCTTGGACCACCTACATATATAAGAGAAATACTCAACAGAGAGATCAGAAGGAGGAAGGCAGAAGTACCGGCTGCACCAACCCCAACGCGATACTCTCGGCCATCACGACGTCGTTCACGCTGCAGCACTTGGACACTAGCTCGAGAAGCCGCACGTATTCCACAGAGTTCTCCCGCGATGGACTACATATATCTATGTGTGAGGAACGAAGAAGAATCGCGATGGATATGCACCGAGACAGGTAGTCGGAGAGGAGGTCGCGCAGACGCTGCAAGATCTTGTGGTACACGCCCGTGTCAGGCGCAGACACCAACTAATGACGAGGATGAGACTGACGCTCCTTCCACGTGGACATGGGAAGTGCACCTTGAAGAGAATGTTGCTGGCGCGGCGGGCAATGCCCGAGTCCTCGTCGAGAATGCAGTCGCAAATGGCATGAAGTAATATGTCGTGGTCCTAATACCGCCACCATATTCAACCACGGACAAAGGGAATGGATCAGGATGGTGTACCATGCTGGCATGGAATTGTGCGGTCAAGTGGAGATCCACCATGTCCAACGTGAGTTTCTTCGCGGCGGCTTCGTCGTGCGAAATGCCTGCCACAAGGAAGGGAAGCATGGGTTCCTGGAAGAGAATCTCGGGGCCAACGTCGCTGCGGAAGATGCGTTCGAGGCATTGGCACACCAAGTTCACCTACCACAGGTGTGAGGTTATACGTTGCTTTAGGAAGGACGTACATCTTTGGTTGCCCCCTTGTTGCTCGCCTCCTGCAGGCATTCGAAGACGTTGGGCATGGGGACTTGGAGAAGGAAATCCTTCACCAGCTCCTTCTCCAGGAGGCACTCGCGGTTACCCGACGTCGCGATGGACCGCGCTTGGAACGTGCTCAACGCCGACCAGGTGTCCATGGATCTCTCCTTGATGTTAGGGCGTTCGAGAACTTTGGTAGATGTCCGGATATTTGTATCCGTATCTTCCAACCTGTTGAAAATAATGCAAAATATTGACCAAAACTAGCTGAAATGTTACGAATAATATCCCAAATCTGACGAGAAATAGAGCCAATCAGATGCCTCCATTATCATTCGTCCTTCAAGCACCAAAATGGCCAAACGGAAGCGCAACAAGGCGGCGGCGGCGGCAGCATCCAGCGACCCACCAGCACCGACAGAGAAGAAGGCGAAGAAAGTGTCCAAGAAGACAGCGCCAACTCCCGCTAAGCAGAAGGACGGCGATGACGATGACGACGACGGAGATGACGACAAGGACGACATTGAGATGGACCTCGACGAGCTCGTGGCAGCAGGTGGCGCCTTATCGCAACTCGGAGCCCACGACGCGGCCGCGGAAATACTGGCTCAGGCGCTAGCCCTTTCCCCAGGGAACGTGGACATTATGAGCTCCCTCGCCAGCGCGTACGAGGCCTCTGCCCAGAAGGACGAGGCCCTGGTCCTCCTCCGCCAAATTACCCAAGTGGCGCCGACCCACGCCTCGTCATGGTTCCAACTCAGTGCGCTCCTGGTGGAATCGAACGACGTCGACGGCGCCGTGGACGCCCTGAAGCGCGTGATTGAGCTCGAGGACACCCCTGCCGCGTACGCAGCGTTAGCGTCATGCTACGGGGAGCAGGGCAACATCGATGCCGCCGTGAGCTTATTCGAAGACGGAGTCCTGAAACATCCGACTTCGGGAAAGTTCCACTTCAACCTCGCGACGATGCTGGCGGCGCGAGGAAGGAAGAAGGACCGCAAGCGGGCCGTGGAAATGTACGGCAAGGCGGCGGCCTTGGACCCCGAGACCCGCGCCGAAGTGCTCCAAGACTTGGCGGAATTGCATAAGGCGATGGGCGAGACAGACAAAGAAACTCTAGCGTGTATTACTTCAGAGGAATCGTAAAGTGTTTGTTTCCGATGGTCACGTGCACTTGATGGAGGTCCAGCGGGACTGGCGGCGGTAACGACGACGTTTCTTCTTGATCGAACGAGGTCAACGCAGGCAAGATGCAAGTGGACGACCCGACGCTGATGTGCGGAAGGGGGTCCTGAATGCATGTAAAGAATGTTGGTGGTGCTGCTTTCTTTGCAGGTCAGATTCGAACACGTACGGCGTAGTACACTTCGCGATGGAACTGGGCAAGACACTTGTCCACGCAGCGAATGACGTGGCAGACGTCGGCGGCGCCAGACACGACGGGCACGGTGGCGAACAGCCGTGTGCGCTCGTCGTTGATGAGGACGCGCAGCCCTTGGACACTCACGCGAAGTCTGCGCAAGTTATGGCACGATGGAGAATGAGATATGTCTCTACGCTGTACCGCTTTCGATAACGAAGGGCCAGTCGAAGGGCGGCCACGAAGGGGTCGATTTGGGCCCGAGTGAGAACAAATGTGCGCGACAGACTGAGATGGAACATGCTTTCTGCTTTGGCTTGGTCATTTCCGTCGGAGTTCTCGGTGGAAGGAGACTCCATGGGCACCAGCTGCAAGTCCGTCAGCCCAGCTCGCGCTTGGGCTTGATGCATGGCATATTCCGCCATCTTGCGCATCAATTTGGTAGGGTGTACTGAAATATGTACACATGAACATGTCAGTGACAAGGCATGACGACGGACGGACGGTGCAGGCAGGTAGGTACCTTGAAAGGACACATACGACGGCCAGTTGCCATCAACATGAGGGAACGTGCGGGTCCATGCTGCAGAGGTTGACCTTTCCTCAACCCGCGGTCTCTTCTTCGTGCGAAGGTCGTCCTCGTCGCTCTCCAAGTCACTTCCGCTGTCGCTGTACGCAACCAAAGTTGCCGCCATTATTATACTTCGATGTGAGAAATCCTGAAATATATATTGAAGTCGGAATTATCAGGTTTCCAGGGAGCATCACAGTCCGAGAGTGCCGCGACATAGTCCCCTCAAGTCTTTCCTATGATAGAGAGATAGCGACGCTTCCCAAGACGCACAACCGCCGCCGCCGCCGCCGCCGCCGCCGCCGCACGACCAGGACATGCGGCTGCCTCCTCCAGCCGTTCCAGTGCTCGGAATGTTTGGTGGTCGAATAGGATATCCATCGACGGGGAATAATATTTTACCACAGTGTTCCATTCGATAAAGTATCGCATGCCTCGTAGTATAGAAAAATGAATGCAATTTCATGGATTATGCAGAGGTACTTTAATGAAGGGAACCCTGTTTCACAAAGTTACTGACTGCTGCACCGCGAATTATTCAAGCCGCCACTACTGCCCCTCGAGAACAATGAGTGCGTCCGCCGCGGAACGAGAGATGACCAAGGAACATGCTGATGGAGGATGGCATGTGTGTTTGCATAGGTGACGAGATCTACCCCATCAATCTCCTCACGGAAGAAATGCGCACCGACGAAACGGAGACGAGGATCCGCAGCATGCGCCGCCTTCGAACCATCGCCCAGGCTCTCGGTCCCGAACGCACGCGCTCCGAGCTTCTCCCGTTCCTCAACGGTAGGATGACATCCCATTCGTCAACGTCGTTGAGTGCGATGCTCTGTAGAATCCACGGACGACGAAGACGAAGTGCTTGTTGCGATGGCGGAAGAGTTGGGCACGTTTGTCGACTTGGTGGGTGGCCCGAGCGCCGCGTCGGTCCTTTTGACGACGCTCGAAGTGCTTGCTACCGCGGAAGAGACTGTAGTCCGTGACAAGGCCGTGGCGTCCATCAACAAGGTCCTGGACGTCGTCACGGACGCGGCCGAGTTGGCGTTGCCGCTCATCAAGCGGCTGACCGAAGGCGACTGGTTCACGTCCCGCGTGTCCGCGTGCTGGATCTTCCCCGTCGCGTACTCCAAGGTCGACCCTGCCAACAAGAAGGAACTACGCGAGTACGTCCGTTCGCTCTCCTCGTCCGAGTCCATCATATGTGTACATGTAGCCTCTTCACCACGCTCTGCGCCGACGACACCCCCATGGTCCGCCGCGCGGCCGCGTTGAACATTGGCGTACGCGTCCCTCGCTCGTTCCATACTTGCTCATCCAGAACCTTCCTAGAAATTCGGCGCCAAGATCGAGCGCGACATCTTCGTGTCCACGATCTTGCCGCTCTTCAAGTCGCTGACAGTGGACGACCAGGACAGCGTCCGTCTGTTGGCCATCGAGAACTGCGCCGTGATCGCCAAGCTGCTCAACGAAGATGAAAACTTGTCGCATATCCTGCCCGTCGTGCGGTCGTCGTGTGAGGACCGGTCGTGGCGCGTGCGCTTTAGCATCGCCAAAGACTTTTTTCCGGTACACAATGTTCCTCTCAAAACGAATTCTTTCCTCTCAAAACGAATACCACCCAACCCAATCAATGTATGTTAGCTCGCCCAAGCGATTGGAGCCAACATCACCGAAACCGAACTGCTCCACTTGTTTGTCGTGTTGCTGCAGGTATGTATATATATATATCTTATTGGCATATATATATATTATATATATATTAGGACGCGGAAGCCGAAGTCCGCGCCGCCGCCGCTAAAAACATCTCTGGCTTTGCGGGACTGGTCAAGCAGTCGAGCTTCATGGCCGAGATCTTCCCGCAGCTCCAGCCCTTGTCGCAGGACGTTGCGCCAAACGTTCGCAGTACGTTTGGTTGTGTACCCATATATATATATATGTGACACTGCTTTTGCAGCTGCGGTATCCATTGTAACGATGGAAATCGCGCCAAAATTGGGCGAAGACGTGACCAAGACGTCGTTGATTCCGATTCTGCTGCAGTTTCTCCGCGATGACGTCGTGGACGCGCGGCTCAATGTGCTCAAGCGCATGGACAACATCTCTCCGTGGATGTCCTCGTACGAGTCGACCCTCCTTCCCGCCATCACGGACCTGTCCAAGGACCTGCAGTGGCGCGTGCGCGAAGCAGTCATCCTCGCTTTGCCATCCCTCGTCACCACGCTGGTATGTGTATCCAACCATGTCTCACATTCAACCGTGTCGCATATATATATATAGGGCGCGGCGTACTTTCAGCAGCATCTGCTCGACATGTTCCTGAACGCGTTCCAGGACATGGTGAGCGAAGTGCGGCTGAGTACGACCAAGATCCTGCGCGATATCCTCGACGTCGTGGGGAGCGACTACGTGCTCGAGAGCGTCCTGCCCAAACTGTCCAAGATATACGAAAACTCTGTCACGTACCAGGAGCGTGTCAACGTCTTCCATGCATTGGGGGTAATATATATATATATGTATGCAACTGTATCTCAGATTTGGGATGTAGCAACTGGCCAGCGCCAAGGCGTCGGTGCAACTGCTCACGGAATTGACGGCGTTGTCTGTGAAAGGCGCTAGTGACAAGATCCCCAACGTGCGGTTCACAGTGTCCACGACCCTCGAGGTGCTGGGCAAGAGTACGACGGACGCCGCCGTGTTGGAGTCGATCCGGACCAGCTTGACGGCGCTGCAGGCAGATGCAGACCCGGACGTCAAGTACTATGCCAGTGTCGCGCTCGACACTGTGGGCACTTCGAGTTAACAACATAACGTTACTAGATATAATACCATGATCAAGTACTGTAGCTAGTGTTAGCCCTACTGATTGATTCCATATATTCTGTGTGCTGTTTTCATCGCCACACCTTGACGACGCCGTCGCGGGCACTGGACACGACCATGGGGCCATGCACGTCGACCATCTTGAGGTCCAAGATGCAGTCGTGGTGTGCGGGGGACGCGGCGATGGGGCCGCGGCGTTCCAGGGCTGGGTTGGCGTAGCCGTCGCCGTGGTCGCCGAACGAGGACGCGTCCTGGCAGAGCAGGATGGACGGCGGCGCCATCTTGCTCCACACAACTTCGGCCTTGGACAGTTTCGGGTCTTCCGCATCGAGGCGCCACCACCCGTCCGGCGCCACTTGGCTGTCGTAAAAGGACGAGTCGGGTCCCGACACGGTCAGCGACTTTTTCGGATGACGGAGGTCCCAGAACCGGATGCGCCGGTCCTCGCCCGCCGTGAGCAAGGAAAACTCGGACGGGCACAGCATCGCGCGGATTGTCGGCTCCTCCGAGTACGGAGTGGTGGCCACGTCATCGAGCGCTTGGGCAAATTTAGGCGGGCCCAAGATGCTGCCCATCACGTCCTTCATCCGGCTCGGTACTTGAACGTGGTGCAGCGTCGGACACTTGTCGGCGCCGAGCATCTGCACCTGCGTGTGCAATGTCCGAAAAACGGCGCGGCAGGCGCCGATGCTCAAGTCGAACACGGCGGCCTCCGAGTCGCCCGCGGCCACGTACACGAGGGGGGACGTCGCCGCCAGGTCGGGCTGGCCACACGGGTAGGTGGTCAAGCACGGCTCAACGCGGTTGATCGGTTGGTTGGATGAGTGGCGCCATACACGGATGAGCAGCTGGAACCGCAGGTCCCACAGACAAATGTACCCCCGGTTCGTGCCCACGGCCAACCACGTCGCATCTACTAATGTCGTTAACAACTAACTAACCACCACAACTAATGACTACTCACCGGACGATCGGGTCATGCACGAAATGTGACCCAGTTCGACGCTGACGTGGAGCTTCCACGCCTCTCGCCGAAATCGCAGGTCCCACCTACTCGCCATTACCATAAGCCAAAACATAATATATATATATATATATAGTAGGGGATACCCGTAAATAAACCCACGGCGGGTGCCGTAGATGAGCAGACTTTCCGTGGCCGTGTTGACGTGGTTGAGTACGAGGACAGCGTCGTCGACGAGGTGGATCTCGCGGAGGCCGATGGTCTGGTACTGCTGGACGCTGGTGGTGGCGTTGGAGGACATGCGATCCACTCGGAACACGTGGACGCTGCCGGTGGCCGAGCTCGTGGCGATCGAGTGCGAGTGATCCAGCACCACCATGTCCGTGAGGACGCCGCCTTGGGCCTCGTACGTGCCGCGACTGCTGGGGTTGCTACCATGTGCCAGACCCTTGACGCTCCAGATCTTGACGGTGCCGTCGCCCGACGCGGACGCGAGGAACGATCCGTCTTGGGCCACGCCCAGGCGGTGCACCGGTCCCGAGTGTTCGTTCATTTCTGCTACGAGCACGTTTTCCCGAGGTCGCCAGTCGCGGGTGGACGAGTACGACGAGGATGGGACTTGCAGCAGCGACGGGGGCGGCAACCCCGACGACGACGACGACGACGGCGGCTGCGGGGTCGACGGCGCACTACTGGCCGCACTGACATTCGACGCGACGCTGGTCATGGGCACCGGCACGTCGGGCGGTTTGAGCGCCCCCATGTCCATGGGCAGCGGCGGGATGTCGAGCGCCATGAGTCGCGCCAGCAGTTTATGCGAGTGGAACAAGGCCGGGTCCAGCACCATGTCGTGGACGGACGCCGCGTTGAGCGCTTTCTTGCGGGACGTGGGTTCGGCGTTGAACTCGGACAGACTCGAGAGGCCCGTGTTGAGGCCGTAGAGCCGGATGATGTGCAGCAGCGGCAAACTCTCCCACTTGAACAACGCCGCTGCGTCGCCAATCTTGGCTGGCTTGAGGTACGGAAACGACAGCGGAAACTGACTCAGCGCCGTGTGCGTGGTCGGCACGCGCAACACGTGCATGGACGTCCGCGGGACCTTCTTGGGGAACGCCAGCGGAAGGTGGCGCGACTGGTTGGCGCCGCTGCCGGCCTGCATGCGCGCCATCTGCTCCGAGTTGAAGAGCTGGATCTTACTCTGCATGTGCATCGACGCCATCTCAATGTACTGCTGCATGAGCTGGAGGCGCTGGGCGTCGTCCGCGTCTTGTCCCAATGTCATCTTGTCGAACCGGTCCAGCGGTTTCCTCGCCGACCGAGAGAGGTGGTGGAGCGGGGGGGGGGGGTGGGCGGGCGAGTACCCGTCGGTGGAGTCGTCGCTCGAGAGCTTGACGCGGTTCCGCGCCGAATTGTGCACTTCCATCACGTCCTCATACATCTCGGCGTCGGGGACGTACTCGACCAAGGACATGTCGGGGGGGTGGTCGATGGGGCAGTCCCTGGAAATGAGCGCTGCGTCAAACACTTCGCGGGGCACGGGGGGCTGAAGCGCGTTCCGAAGGATACTCACCACGTCGTCGGTGCTGGTCGCGCCCAGCTTGACCTTGCGCCGCATGTACGGGTGCAGCAGCGGCATGAGAAACACGAGCGTGTCCACGGACCCGAGCTGGATGGCCACGGCGGCGATGAGCTGGATGTTGGCTTCGCGGATCCACCACCCCGGGTGCAGCAGCAGCGGCGTCGTGAGCTTGGCCTTGTCAATCAGCGCTGGCCGTTGAAACAGCCCGAGCGAGACCAGTGTGGCCAGACAGTGCAACGCCCTGGCTATGACAATCTCCTGGACGTCGATCAGGGCTTGCTCGATGCAGGGCAAGATGTACAGCTCCGCCGACACGCGGCCGACAAACGTGCAGACGCCGGGGATGTCTTGGAAGAAGGCGGCGCGGAGCTCCCAGTCTCGGTCATTCAGAAACGACAGCAGCAGCGGCAGTACGTTGTCCAGCGTGTATTCGCGGCCAAAGAACACACACAGCCGCGTGATGTCGTGCAGGAGCGCGCGCTTGACGAGCGAACTGCTCGACTTTTGGTCGGGCGCGGCGATCTGGATGACAAAGCGCGCCACGGCCGAGTGCAGCCGGTTGAGTTCGTTGTCAAACGTGCTGAACGTTGCGTCCAGGTTGCGCCCTTCCTTGGCCTTTTTCGTGGTCGCGAAGCCGCGGGCAGTATCGGTGGCCGACGGCTGGTGCAGCGCGCGCTGTTTGAGCGCACAGCTGATCTCTAGGAATCGCCGCGATGTTTCCGCGAGGAGAGGGAGGCACTCGGCAAATGCGATGCGAACGCTTTCCTCAACGTCCACGGGAAAGTTCTGCAGCGCGGGGAGAATGTACTGCGGGAACACGGCCGCGTCCGAGAGCGGGAGCACGGTCACGACGGACACGAGCGACGTGATGCAGCGGATGGCGGCGGCGCGGACGGCGGCGTTGGCGTCGTCGAGCACTTCCATCACGTACGGAATGAGGCGCTGGAGGCGGACTTCGTCGTCGGCGTGCGCGCCCAGGCGGGAAATCAGCTGGAGCCCCGTGAGTTTGGACTGGGGCACTTGACAGTGTCGCAGACTCGAGCAAAGCAGAGACAGCACGATCATGATGCCGTTCGGGGGGGGCTTTGTCGTCTGGTTGACGGCAGGAGGAAGCGGGGATGGCTTCTCACCCAAGTCTTGGTCCATGTCCGAGGTCCCGGGGGGGGGCGAGTCGCCCCTGGAAGTCGCCGACTTGGCGCGCTTCAGCGTGTCGTGCTTGTGCTTGGCATACGCTTGATATGTCGACTGCAGCTTTGGAATCGCGTGGGCATCGCGTCCGAACGGCCCCCCCTTGCCAGGAGACGCCACACTTTCGTCGTTGTCTCTGGCTTCTTCGTACGGGGACGACATTTCGTCATACATGCGCTGCAGCACGTTGTCGGTAAAGTGCGCGCGGTCGCTGCCGTGGCCTTCCTTGAGGCGGTGGTTGAAGAACACTTCGCCCTCGCGATCGTCGACGCCTACCAACTCGCGCACAATGCGGGCGTAGTACTTGCATACGAGGCGGATGCGGGCGTCCGGCAGCTTGCCTCCCCGCGTGAGTACCAGCGCCATGAACCGGAACAAGAACGAGTCGAAGTAGGGCGGGAAAATCGAGTCCGTGTACTGCTGCCGGTACTGCGCCGCCGACAGCCGGCTGCGGTGGTCGCGCTGGAGCATGTGGCGCACCATGTCGCTAACGGGACCGTCCTGGATCTTCTGCAGCACCGACATCACCGCGTGCATGTCCCCCGTGCGATAGCGCAAGAGCGTCGGTAGGTCGAACAGCGGTTTCCCGCCGTGAAAGAGCTCGGCGATCACACACCCCGTCGAGAAGATGTCCATGGCAGCGGTGAGCGAGCCGCCCTTTCGCGGGGTCGCGTTGTAGGACGACGAGGGCGCGAGCGATGGCGGCGGCGGCGGCGTGCGACTCATCTGCTTGTCCCACTCCTCGGCGCTGATCTCACTGTCCGCGAGACGGGACAGCGCATCGCGGTTGCTGCCGTAGAAACGCTCGGGGGCGACACTGCAGCTCCGTCGGGACGCATCCGACGCGCAGAAGTAGTAGTAGTAGTCTGCCGGGTCGTCTTCGGGGATGTACGTGGGCTTGAACGGCGCAAAGTCGGTGAGAAAGATCCAGTTCCACGACGTGACCATGACGTTCTCCTGCTTAATGTCGCCGTGGAAGATGCCCTTGGAATGGCACTGCTCGAGGGCTTTGAGCAGCTGGAACGCGATCCACTTCTTTTCAATGTCGGTCAAGAACGGACGGGTGTAGATGCGGTCATACAGATTCGCCACAAACGACTGCCGCACGAGAAAAGCCGCGTTCGCCTTGGTGCCCATCTCAAACACCGAGTACGGAATCACATTCGGAGTCGACTCGACCGAGCTCAGAGCGGCGTAGAGGGTCGCCAGTTGGTGCTTGGCCGACTCCAGGGACTCGTGGGTGTCGTGTTTACGGTAGATCTTCACCACGACCACACCTTCTTCGCACTTGCACTGCACTGTCTTGAGGAACTTCCCATCCCCGAGGAGGTTGCTGAACACGAGGTTCATGGTGTTCCGGTGAGGTACGACGCACTCCATCAGCAGGGTGCGACATTGAGACGCCGTGTCCAGCTGCGTGCTGTTCGCAGGCTGAGCACGCGGCGCCGCATTCCCCATAATCAAAGTCAAGGAACGGAATCGCCGGATTTCTGCATATTTTTCGTCGTTTGATTCTATCTTTGTTAACACATCTATATGTCATTTTAAATGAGACTTATCTATAGATAATAGATTGGTTTCACTCGACCATTTCACGTTGTGGGCGTTAAATTTCCCATGCTACAAGCTCATCGTTATTGTACGTACAGTTTACAGTACTGGTATACCCATCAGCACGACTCTCATATGTATTCCTGTAGCATCCAACGAGGCCAGCTTTGTAGCACATACAAGATGGTGTACCAACACATATACGTATAACATCTGAAGTGCTGGTAATCCAGCCGGTCGACAAAAGCGAACAGAATCGTTAGGTATAACATTTACAAGGTGTAAATAAGGTAGCTCGAATCCTCATATTGTTGGCAACGCTTGGGAGTACTCCATCAAAACAAGCATCCCCTTGAAAGGTAATACAGTACTGTATTCAGTGTGAATTGCAAGTACAGTACATTCATTCCGGCGTTCATCAATGGTCACCATCACAAGACTGTTACTGGGAAAGAGGGAATGCAACGCCCACCTTGACTTCGAGTTCAGACGGAATGAAGTTGTCTAATTGGTCACATAACTACGAAGTTCGACAACTATTCTAGCCAATCGCAGCCTATTTCGAATAATTTTAATCACTTCTGAAGATGATAAAATTGCACATCGTACGTACAGTGAAATTTGTTCAGCACTGGCAATATCGCAATGAAATAAAGAGGTCATTAAGAGTAGAAGGAAAACAATCCAAGAACTTCGATTACTACCGTAGACAAACAATAAGCGTAAGCGTTCGACGCGATAGCGCAGTGGTTAAACACGTTGTGTGTCTTGAGTGAGCCCCGGGTTCAAGTCCCGGGCGCGTCGAACTTTTTTCTTTGAA